ATGTGTTTTGATTGGTTCGCTAAGGCTAGGAGTCAAAAAATTCCGATTTCTGGTCCCATTCTGAAAGCAAAGGCAATGGAAATTGCAGGAAAACTGGGGGTACCTAATTTTAATGCTTCGGATGGATGGCTAAATAAATGGCGATTAAGGAATAATGTTTCCTTCAAATGCATATCTGGTGAAGCTGCAGATGTGAATCAGGATGATGTCGAACAGTTTCGGACAAAGCTGCCAACTCTGTTGAATGGGTACAAGCCTGAAGACATTTACAACGCCGATGAGAGTGGGCTTTTCTTTCGTGCCTTACCGGACAAAACCCTCGCTCTTAAATCCGAAAAATGTGTGGGAGGTAAGCTATCAAAGGAAAGACTCACAATTTTGTTCTGTGCTAATATGGCTGGAGATAAGGAGCCGCTTTTGGTTATAGGTAAAGCAGCCCGTCCTCGAGCCTTTAAACATGTTCCAATTGCAAAACTTCCAGTGGATTGGAAGTCTAATAAAAAAGCATGGATGACTCGAGAAGTGATGAGCGAATGGCTGCAGCAGTTCAATCGAAGAATGAAAGCCCAGAATCGAAAAATTATCTTGTTTCTAGATAACGCGGCTTCTCATCCAAAGGAATTAGACTTGACCAACATAAAAATTTGTTTCTTGCCACCAAATACAACGGCAGTTAGCCAACCCCTTGATCAGGGTATAATCCAAAATTTTAAAACTTTGTATAGAAGCTTAGTTTTAAAACACTTGATAACTAAAATTGGCGATACAAGTTCAGCCTCAGAGCTCTCAAAATCGATTAATGTACTGGAAGCTGTGTATTTCATCAAAGCATCTTGGCATAAAGTGGAAGCCACAACAATCCGAAACTGCTTCCGTAAAGCAGGATTTTTGGAAACTTTAGAGGATCCTTCAGATTTTGATCCCGAAGATGACATTCCACTGGCAGTCTATGCTAGGCTTCAGGAAGGACTAGATTTGGCAAATGATTTCGAAGGTTTTCTCCAAATAGATCAAAATGTTTTCACTGAGGACAACAATATAGAAATTCAATTTGACGAACCAGATGATACTATGGACTTAAGTGATTCAGAAGATGAACCTTCAGAAGAAATAAGTGACCCCATAACATCATATGATGAGGCTTTAAAACTTGTTGAGCGCTTGAAACAATTTGCAAAAAATGACTATGTAGCTTTTCAGCAGGTTAAAAATATCGAGAGTCACTTTGAAAATGAAAATTTTAAATTAAAGGAATCAATGTTAAAACAAACAAGCATCACACAATTTTTTCAAACAAACTAGTCGATATTGAAATGTAAGGACTTGTACAATGTATTTAATTGATATATTTATGTATGTATATGTAATACTAAAGTATGTATTTAAATATTCTTTGCTTCGAAAAATTTCTTAAATAAACTACAATGAATTTTATATGTGTAGTATGTATATATTTTTTGACCTCATCCCCTATAAGCGGACAGCTCCCATAACCGGACAAAAACACTGCGACCGTGAGTGTCCGGTTATGAGGAATTTCACTGTATTTCGAGATTGTCGGGAGTAATTTCGGTGTTTTTGGGATTTTTGGCTGTATTTCGGAATTTTTGGGACTTTCGGGCCGTTTTTTCATTTCTTCGTTTTGGTATATTGGAGTTCGCTGATATTTGCTAGTACATAGTTCCTCTAAATTCTCGCATCACATACGGACAAACATATATTTCGCGCATTGCAATTACCATTTGTTCGCTAGCCATTATTTGCGCACCGCCGCTTCCTAACTCTCATGCAACCTAGGAAGCGCTCCTTGGTTCCGCAATCATTATGAAGTCATTCAAAATACATATCGATATAGGTCCCGGATATCCCGAAATACTCCCGAAGGTCCTAAATATCCCGAAATTATTCCAGAAAATCCCGAAAACCCCATAATTCCGAAATTGGTCCCAAAAATCTGGAAATAGTCCCGAAAATCCAAAATTAGTCCCAAAAAAATCGATATACTCCCGAAAGCCCCAAAAATCCCGAAAA